TATATATATATATATATATGTGGCACTATTGCTTTTTTTTGCAACGTTATTTTAACGTGTATTACGAAATCGTAATCGTGTTCGTGTAACCCAGATGGTACACACATGTGTAATTCATTCAAAAGAGCCACAAGAGTCAACTGGACCTCGCGATAACTATAACCAACGTGTATTGTATCTTCTTACACTCAGACTCAATTTAATTTATCTGAGGTCTCGTAGAGGAATCGTATCCTGGTTACTCCTTAGATACAATATGGCCAGTCATATCGCTTGAACGCTTAATAAACAGAAGGATGTTATTGTATATAATAAAAGAGCACGTTTACGCATTGTCGCAATCGCATCATCGCCTTAAACACAGGGTTGAGCTGCACATTGAATTGCATGCCGTATTATTATTCAGTTCTATTTGTTTGAGTTTCGTAGGTATTACGATTAATTTTCTCCTGAGAGAGAACTCCTCCGGCTGCTCAGGAAAGAAGAACACGATTCTACTGCCTGATAGGAGTTTTTCGGTTATGTGCAGGAAATGATTGACTGGATGTCTTATCTGTCGGTCGTGTCGACGCTCTTTTTCGTGGTATTTTTTGCCGTGGGGCCTGGTTCCATCCCGTGGATGATCACGGCCGAACTGTTCTCGCAAGGTCCTAGACCTGCGGCCATGTCTATCGCGGTCCTCGTCAATTGGATAGCTAATTTTGTGGTTGGCATCGGTTTTCCAAGTATGAAGGTAAGATATTATATAAATTTTACTGTATACTATACGTATATTTCAATATGTTCCATAATTTCATAATTTCTTCCCAATTTATATTATAATGCTTTATATATATATATAAACATATGCTTTTTTAATTAAGGTTAAAATTTATATAAGTTAGAATTAAAGTATTTTCATTGGTATCAGTTAAAGGTTAAAGCTCGAAAGATACTTATGGAACAGAGGCACCGAGGAGAATTTCAAGCAAGAAGGGCGAGCAGATTGATATTTGCTATATTTATACGTTGACCCCCATGTTTTTATGTGTTACAGACTAGCCTTGAAAACTACACGTTCCTACCATTCAGTGCATTCCTAGCCATCTTCTGGATCTTCACGTACAAGCAGGTTCCTGAGACCAAGAATAAAACATTCGAAGAAATTCTAGCTTTATTCAGGCATGGTAACGACAGGTACGCAATAAATAAGCCACTTAACACCATTCCTAATACGTATAGCAAATCATTAGATAGATAATCTTCAGTTCTCAAGCCTCCCCCTCCCCCCTTTTTCTTTTCGCTGATTTCCATCGATTTTTCTTACACGTATATACGTATTATTCTGTATGTATAATGGCTCTATCCAAAAAAAGGCAGCTTGTTCGTTTTTTTCGTTATCCGTTTTGATTTGTTGTCTAAGTGCGGAAAGAGGTCCAATCAACAAGAGACTTTGTATCCATGTTTTATAACACGTGATTGTCGATTTGTTAATGATGAAACGCGAAAAGAATTATTAAGTTTCGCATCCTGTGCATATTCGATGCATAATATATTGTTATCATATCCGTCCACACATCCGCCCGTCTATATTTTACAATGAACCATCAAGTGTATCACGAAACGCGTGAATTCTGAATTGTTATATTCGAATCGAAGAAAAAAAAAAAAAAAAAAAAAAGAAATGAAAGAAGGAAAAAAGAAAAAAAGAAAAACTCGAATTTAATTCTTGCGAAAAAAACCGGAAGGCTTAGGAAATGCACTATGCCTATTAATTTATTCAACAAATCGATATAATATTTATAGGAACGTTCATCGTGCGAAAAGTAGACAAATAATTGTAAATATGATTAATCGAGTAGATAGAACATAACGTTATC